CCAGCACGCATGGCCACTCGGAGTTTGAGGGTGCAGTCAACTATAAAGGTTGATTCTGATTGATTTGGATAAACAGTGTGACTTAGGGAAGCCCTGTGATGAAAAGTCATAGGAAATGTAACAACCGTGAAATAAGGAAGCAGTTGGGCTAAGTTGGAGTATTTGTATGAAAAGCTTTGTGAGTGCTCACATTCTCAGTTCAGGAGGTGAGCTGATAAACGTAAACAAAAGCACGGCATCATTGCTTTACTTACGTTATGGCTTTTCATTTGCATCATCAATAACGTGTGTGTGTGTGTGTGTGTGTGTATGTGTGTGTGTGTGTGTGTGTGTGTATGTGTGTCTGTGTCTGTGTCTGTGTGTCTGTGTCTGTGTGTGTGAGAGAGAAAGGGGGCAGGGAAGAGCGAAGAGCACATGCATATACCACTCAGAGTACAGGTTGAGGAAGTGGACTCTCCTTTTTCCACCATGTGCTTTCCTGAGGTTAAAAGCACTATGCCTTTACCAGCTAAGCCATCTTGCCAAGCAGGTCCTGTATTTTCTTCCATTTTCAACTGAGATGTTGGTCTGAAGCAGTACTTAAATATTCATTCAAACGTGTCATCCTTTTGCACTGTAGATAACTTTCTCAAGAATTTTAATATCAGTTATCAGGGTAGGAAAGTGTGAGTCACTTCCTCCTCCTCAGGAATGATATATGCGAAGTGACAGCTTATCTTTCTTTAGTATAGCTTTATGTCTTCCTACTTTTACAAGCTTTTGTTTTTATGGCATTTTTGCTTACCATCCTTCCCTTGAACATGTGGATAAGAAGAATCTCTGGAAACAAGACAAATTAGTGAGTATCAAGACATATAAAATAGAAAGGTCAACAAGTAGGTACCATTTTCAGTAAAGTACAGAGAGAAAATGGAAGCCTGTGCTCTAGCAACAGATGGGGAAGACTGGCCTTTATACTGAGACCAGAGTACCCGACCAGAGTCGCAGGATGCTCTCTTCAGGTGGCTCAGAGGAAGATCCCGAGGGATGGAGCTGTTATGAATGTCGTATTTTAATAATGCCCCTTTAATTAAAATATAGTATTATTTAAAATGATGCTGTATAAAACATCAAATAACCATAGGTATGGGTTCAGTTTAGTTAGTTTTTGCAGGAAGTACGGAATATATTTTAAAGATTTAAGACAAAAGACTTTAAAATTTTTAAACATGCACATGAGTAAAGGTGTCCATGGAGACCACAGAAGGGCTTTGGAATCTCTGGCTCTGAAGTTACAGGGACCTGTGAGCCCCCTAACATGAGAGTCGAGAGCTGAAGTTCAGAGCAGCACATGGCCTTCAATGCTTGAGACTACCCTCTCACCCAAGAACGTACATTTTCAATCACACGTCTGAACAGTAACCCAGACTCTGAACTTCATGAAACTGAAATACTGTTGTTAGAGAAGAGCTATGCTCTTTGGGGCTTGTTTACATTGTAGCATTAATAAATCAAATCAGTCACATCATATGTGATCCCACAGCTATGATATGGATTCCTTGTGGATCAAATCTGAGTAATATTTAAAAAAAGTCAAATATTCAGGATACGGTTTAACTATGTGATGTCTGTAAGAACCCGTGTGTTCTATTTTGTAATGTTAATCTGCTTCTTTTGCAAGGCATGTACCTCAGCAGTGACTCTTTGCAAGCTTTTACCAGAATGCGTTGCGTAACTAAGCTCTTGGACACTTTTGGCAGTAGGTTGCCTTTCTTGGCAGATTTTACTTCCAAGAACAAAGAATTCTGCTCATTTTCTTATCTTTTTTTACTGTTTCAAGAACGTGGTGACATCAGTTCAGTCTTCATAGCAATTTTACAAGTCTGGAACTAATGGTACACTTTTCTATTCTGAAAGTTCTGAAAATGGCGAATTTAAGATGTCATTGCTAATAAAAAGTAAACTGGGTTAAGTCATGACTTCAAATCTTTGGAATTTTTTTCCAAGTCTCCTTTCCTTTTTCATAATAACAATCCTAGGAAACAGCCTAGGAAAGAGACATGATATTAGGAAAATCATTTTAGAATATTTCTTAAAACATTAGCTTGAAATTATTGCTCAATTTTTTAAAAAAAAGTGAAATAAAACATAATTTATGTAAATGACCGATTGATAGTTGTCACCATACTACTTGTGTGTAAAACATCCCCAAAACTCTCTGGTCCCATCAAAGGTGTAACAGGCACCATATACATCTTGGATAATATTTAATAACCTATTCTTCAAATACTTCTCAACTAGAAGATTCCTAAGTACTGCTAGAGAGATTTCCAGGGTGTTCATCCATAGTTGTTGCTTTTTTAATGTTTACAAACGATTAAAATACATGATCTCAATAAAAGATGTCTTATGCTCCTTGGCAGACCATAATAAGTTTCAGTGGTTGGTAATTGTTGGCTAGGGAAACCTCTCTAGGACTTTCCAGCAAATGACACACGGAAGGCTTGGGGTTCCTTTGCACATTCCTTCAACAAAATGCTTAGTTTCATTTTAAACTGTTTATTCAAGAAGAAGGTTCTGGCTTAGGAAGACTCAGCTGTGTTTGTGAAATTGCTTAAGTGAACAAGTCACTATGATGTTATGTGTAACATTTTACCATATGGATTACTGTATGTAAAGCCAACTTTCTGACATGAGAGGAAAGTCATAGTGTGGTAGATAACCCTGTGTTTTTAGACTTGTACACATATTTTCTGGGGTATGTGAAGTATATTGTCAGACATAGTGTGCTGGACTTTTGCATGTTTTTATACTATTCATAAAATTCATAAAATAATATACTACTCTTTCATTTAGTAGTTGAAATTTTATGGTGGACCCTTCCAAATGGCATGATATAACCTTTTGGAAAATGAAATATCATTCCTCTTTGACAACAATCTGGTATCCTTGTGTATTCCCTGTAGCATTAGAAAGTGGGTTGGTTTTGCTTGACAGTGCGAATGTAGTGAGAGTTCCATCTTCCACACCAGGAGACTCAACAGTGAAATTCAGTTTCTGTGACAGCTTCCCAAGCGAAAATCAGTGTGTATTAGAAAACCACAAAAATCACTTAGTCCATACTGTTGTAAGATGTCCACGGATGTGTCCAGAATTTAGAAGTTGCTGATGAAAGGTGAAACTTCGCTATACAATCCTTCCTTTTTCTTAATGGAAGTGTCGTCTGTAAAAACAATCTTCTTTCATTTTTGTTGGCTCTTTGGTTTCCCTTCCCCCTTGAGGCCAGCCCCTCCTCTGCTTGCCACGTGCTTCCATTTTTCCCTTTGCTTTCCAGCTTTATCAGCACTCTCTCTGTCTTCCCTGTTTGCCTTGAGCTTCTTCTCCCTCTTGGTGGTCAGCTGTGTTCCCAGCACCTCACTCTGGCTTCCCACGTAGGGGACCAAGCCTCAGAATGAATGCATTTCAATTTTCCACTTTTGGAAAGCAAAGGGATAAATGCCTAATGATGATTCCAGGGTTGAGCCTTGTAGGTGTCTTCCATGTTTTGAAGGGGGAAGGAGGTTCTGTCATAGCTGTTTAAAGGCTTTATCCTATAACACCACTCATTTTGCAGATAGGTCTGTGCAGCCCAAAGCTGAAGTACAGACAGTTTTACCTGCAATATTATTATGTGTCCCAGGAGATTAGCAATGGCTTTTGGGATATGATGCCCTGTCAACATTGAAAACAGATGAAAGGTGCAATAAAGATTTTATTGTCTTGATATTGATAGAGCATAATTTTTTAATATATGGCTTCATTTCAACCGCTGTATATTAGAGAGGAGCTGCCATGTGTCTCTGTAATGTTTATGTTTATAAATTTATAAATAATTTTCCAAGGCCCCTAATGTGTAATCTAAAGGTTTGGTTTATGCTTCCTAGTTATTTTAGATCACAGGAGAAAGTAGTGTGGTTCTCAGGCCTCTGGGAAAAGCTAAGTGTACTCTGAGACTTGTCTTTGTAGAATTGTAGTCTAACCAGTGAAGGTGAGAGCCGACGTTGCCTGATGCTGTACCATAGCTTTTGCAGGAAGTAATTTCCTCAGTTGAACATTTGATAGTGCCATGCAAATGATAGGCTCTCAGTCACAACACAGAGAAGCTGGGACACCTTAATGATGCCTGATGCCCTGGAAGCCACCTCTTTAAAAGCTCCATGTGCCCCCATCTCCTGACATCTTCTACCAATGCATGTCTCCCTTCCTGTTAGGAACTGTTCCTACAGGGATGCAATGCTCCTCACCGCTTTATCTGTAAAGGTCTGTTTCTACATAAGGTAGAAATAGCCACTCTTTCTAAGTTCGGAGTCTCAAACATGTCTAACACGTAATGAATCCAGGGTATGTGTAGTCAAAGAGATTGGTACTGTTTAATAATATGTTTAATGATTTAAATTTTGTATTTTGAACCAGTTTCTATTAGGAAAGCAATATCAACCAGGGCTTTCTATGCATGTGTAATATACTGTTACATAAAACCTCACATTATTCTATAAAAACAAAACCCTAATGATGATGTTGAGAATAAACATCCTGTCCTAAAAAGAGGAGTGATAATGTCTACAGATTTGCACCAAAGTAGTGAAATTTACGGTGTTTGCCTGTTTGTTTCTTAATATGTTTGGGATGGTTTATAAAATTGTTTCTCAGCTTTAATGCCTAAAGTGCAAATCCTCGTTAGAATTCCATACAGGAGGCAATGCAGATCACCGAGCTTTTATAGCACTAATTCATGTGCTTTTGCAGGCGGCCGTTTTGGGAAGAAGAGGGAAAAGGCATTAAAACATCAACATTTCCCTTTCATTTGATCTCGTGCCACAGCTGATTTGTTTTCTTTCTCTTTTCATTGTGGCTGACTAAAACACCCTGGTGCTGCTGCCTATTGTATGCTTTTGAATAGAACTATAATTTATATTCAGTAATGAAAGTTTTTAAGAACAATGTTTCTTTTAAAACCTTTAAATGCATTTTCATGTTTTCAGGAAGAATAACAAACGGAAATTTTTCATGAAATTACCAACTTCACATACTTGTTGTTCTGATGCCGTAAGAAAGCAGAAAATAATGATTTGGGGTTTTCATCTAAGAGAATAATACTAATGTGAGTGTTGACCTGGTTAAATGAGGTGTAACAAAATAGTCTGCTGTGGTCTGCTTCTCTGTCAAGGCTCTCCACACACACTGAAATAGAACATGGCCCATGTGGTCCCAGAAGTGTGCATTTCATAGATACTTGTTCAACTTGGGAATTAATAGGTGTGTTCATGCCCATTAATAATATACTGAGAATATTAGTGTAGTAAACTGTAGACTGTTTATTACTAAACTTTTTCAATAAAACTTACAAGAAAACAAAGAAACTTAAACAAAATTATCATTTTAAGTTACACAAAAATGTTCATAGACAATTGAAACTTTCTCATAAAGGATTTTTTTAAAAACCTGTTTCCGCTAGTTTAGGTAACATAACTGTGTGCAATATCTTAAGAAATGAAAGAAGTCAGATATTAAGGGCTAAAATCCAACAATTTCAAAGGATTTAACATTGGTAACTTGATAACCAGACCTCGGTGACTGGAGAACGCTGTGTGCCTTCTGACTACTCCGAATGAGCGTGTCCCAGTAGTTCCTGTGCTGAACATGTGAGTGTAGAAAGGTCATAGCGTGTTAACCAAGATTGCTGCTGAACTATATTTTGTTTCTAGATCAGGATCGTGTTGCACACTGGTAAAATCATCCACCACATTGTAGAACTCTAGAGCTGGAGAGAGTATTTTAGTTCATATAAGGGAACTGTCCTTCCTTCATAACAAGACCCTGAAACAGACTGCTAGTGCAAGAACAACTCAGAACAAAAGGGATGCTGTAATTAAATAAGCCCTGTTTGCCCAGTTCTGAGACAGTGTTTTACACCACAAGCTTGTCTTTCGAAAGATTTTACAGGAATTTAGTGGTTATTTTTAAAAACATGTGACCTCTTGTGTGAACCAGTGAATTCACCTTAAGAAGTTGTATATTTGTTCTTCCAACGAAAAAGAAACATACTCATATTAAATGACACCCTTCTTCTGTGATGTATTTTGCACTTTTAGCTGTCATCATTGTGACTGTTAAAACAATTCCTTGAGTGAAAGAGTTAATGTTCCCCTTGCAATAAGAGAAAAATTAACACACCTTCAAATTAGTTATGTATCTATTGAAATATATCATGGATAGTGATAAATCTGTTCCATTTTCTCCTTGCAGTCTCCAAACGTCCACAACTACCCCGATATGGAAGCTGTTCCCCTCTTGCTAAATAATGTGAAAGGGGAGCCCCCAGAGGACTCATTGCCTGTAGATCACTTCCAGACACAAACTGAGCCAGTGGACTTGTCAATCAACAAAGCCAGGACCTCCCCTACCGCAGCTTCATCCTCCCCAGTCTCCATGACAGCGTCTGCCTCCTCACCTTCTTCAACTTCAACCTCTTCATCATCTTCTAGTCGTCCAGCCTCATCCCCCACTGTTATAACATCAGTATCTTCAGCATCGTCTTCGTCAACAGTGTTATCTCCAGGACCCCTTGTTGCCTCTGCGTCTGGCGTGGGCGGCCAGCAGTTTTTGCACATCATCCATCCTGTCCCACCTTCCAGTCCCATGAACTTACAGTCTAACAAACTCAGTCATGTTCATCGAATCCCTGTGGTGGTACAGTCAGTGCCGGTTGTCTACACAGCTGTACGGTCACCTGGAAATGTGAACAACACTATTGTTGTACCGCTCCTGGAGGATGGGAGGAGCCATGGCAAAGGTAAGAGACATGAACTCTTGATGATTTTCAGCACTAGAGAAAACCATGCATTTTTTTTTAATGACTGGGACCTAGATTGTGTGCAGACACTATGTTCAAAGAAGTTCTGTGTAGAACCTTGTAGACCATATGATTGCCCATACTGAATAGAACACTGCCTGGGCAGCCACATTTGTATGGACAGTTGCCTTAGCTAGGCTAAGTCCATATAATTATTTACTCAGTCATTTTGTATCAGAGTTTTTACATCTTAATTTACAGAGTTTTGCTTCCTTTGAATGGTAATGTGGGATAGACAGCCTGTGTACAGCAGAATTATGTGCAAAATGGAAGTATATAAATCTCTTATAGACATCAGTCATTGTGAGTTCTTTCAGGTAAATAAGGATTTTTTTCTTTATAGTTGTTCAAATTTGAACTTTTTAGATGGCAGTAATATAAACTACTATGACAGTGGACAGCCTGGGATTTATACATCTATTTCTGAGTGCATTTTTCAATAATTTGATATTAAAATGATCCAACCATGCATGGTGGGATCTTGCTTTAATCACAGCACTTGAGCGGCAGAGGCTGGTGGACCTCTAAGCGTTTGAGGCCAGCCAGGTCTACATAGAGAGTTCCACGTCCGCCAAGGTATATATAATGACTACTCTATACATGGTGAAGACGCATCATGACTGAGGTAACTTACAAAGAAAGCCATTTGGTTAGGGTTAGGGGCTTGTTCTCAGCTTCAGAGGGTTAGATAATGAACATAATAGCATGAAGCATGCAGAAGTAGCTGAGGACTTTGCATCCTGACTCACAGGCAGCAGAGAGACAGGAGGACTGACATAGATTTTTGAAACCTTAAAGCCCAGCTCAGCAGCACTCCTCCACCAACAAGCCACGCCTACTTCAGCAAGGCCACACCTTCTAATTCTCCTCATTCTGCTCAGAGTTCAGCCCCCTGGTGAATATGCATTCAGATAGAGGAGTCTAAGGGGACCATTCTCTTTCAGACCAGCACAACTTGTCACAATGATAGATATTTATCTTTAAACTTTCATGTAGGCTTGGTTTTTCATCACATTCTAGTTCAGTTACTAGTGTTAAATAGCAAGGTGTTATAAGTAAGTTTTCAGTTATAAGTAAGTTTAGCTATAAGTAAGTTTTAAGAGGTAAGAAGATACTTTGTGAAGTGCTCATGTTACAGTATCAAGTTATTTCATTCAATGTGGTAGCTGTACAGCTGTATATGGAGTTATTCTCTGGATATAAGCAATTGCTTTTTGCTGAATTTTAGTAGAAGAAATTCTAAATCCCATTAGACTGTGCCTTTTTTCTTTCCTACATACAAACCTACACCCCCCTTTTTTTGAAAATATAAAATCCCATATTATTGTCTTATTCCCGTTGAAACTGAGTGCATATTTGTGTATTTTGTCTTCAGAGGCCAAACACAATGCTAAGATCAGATTTGCCCAATATTGCTTTTTGCTTTGACACTGTGTTACTACTGAGGTCCATGATTAAAACATGATCAATGAATGCATAAACCACTGTCTGCTCATAAAATACGAGGAAACATGGTTGTTTTGCTTCTGGTAAAAGGTAGGACTCAATATTGAGAGATGATATATTATTGAAAACTTGGCAGAATGTTTATAAACATCTATACAGAGCTGTGTGTTTACCACTGGAAGTTATTATTTTATCAATATCAAATTTCTTCCTAGCACTCAAATAAGTTTCACCTTCCAGTTTTAACAAAGTTAAAAATCTCCTGATTCAGGAGTTTCAGTTTTCAAGCTTGCCAAGTAGACAGACATTCATTGCTTTATCTAACAATCCCTGTTGCTGTGGCCCACATGACTTAGGGTCTGGCACCCTGCCTAGGGATAGGGAAAGAATGAAGAGAAAGCCAAAGGCATACATATATTAAAACTGAGGTCAGGTTGGGCTTTTCTACTGCTACCAACCTAGACCTCAGCATAGTTATTAGATACAATCCAGAGGCCGGGGTGAGCTAGACTCAGTAGTCTCTGTGAGTGGGCAGGTTGAGGTTATAGTCATCTGGGAGGAGGAAGCCACAGTTGCTGGTCTGTACACACTCATCAATTGTTCATAAACACTCAGACTCAGACTCCCTGAGGAAAGCTTTGTCATTCATCTTGAGTCAAACCCATATGGGTAACAGCTTAGCCAATTTCCCATGAGTCATTTGGCCTTAGTGTCTGTGACGTGGGGATGTCTGTGTCAACAGACACATTCACTAATTCAAGGGGCTTCCTCTGCTCCCTTGACTATGGGTTATCTGGAACATGAAACTGGTCTGAAGAACACTGGATTGAAACTGTTGAGAGAAATGGGATTATGGTGCTTTTTAATGGATGGTTCTCATGGTGCGCCTGTCGAAATTGTACATATCTCTGAATAAAATGAACAAGTAGCTTTAAATAACAATTACGAAACTGGGAGCTAAATTAGACATTTGTTTTACTTATTATCCAGATGTACAATTATAAATTTTTAAGAATTAGCATTTAACCGGTAGTAAAGCACATCACTATATATTGTATATGTGTCTGCATATGTGTCTCTATGTCCACGGTGGACACCAGTGTCTCTGTGGTATCATAATCCTGTGTGTGGGTCCATGTCTGCAGTGTCACCTAAGGGAAACATCACTTTCTTTGTCAAAATCGTCATTCATATATATAGATAGATAGATAGATAGATAGATAGATAGATAGATAGATATAGATATAGATATAGATATAGATATAGATATATAGATATATATGTATGTATGTATATATATATGTATATATGTATAATGTAATTTAATTTTCTCCAAAATATATATTGCAGGATCCCTTTAAGACTCATACTGTCTTTGTTTTCTCTGTGAGTTATTTGTTAGTTTCATGTAGTATGTCTTAATTCATAATTTTTATGTCATGAGTAAAAATCATAAACCTAATAAATTGTCCTGTGGTTTTTAAGATCACAAATATATGAGGTAAAATCCTGCTTCTCTCATTTATGACTTTAGAAAGTCATCCTCTTAGTTCTCATTTTCATCAGTCAAACAAATGGGGCTAGAAACATGATCTATCCTAGGATAAAAGACCGTAGTACAGCTGCCTAGTGTTGACCCAGTGTCAGTAAATGCTATCATTCTTACTTTTCTCCTAAATACTATGAGAAATACTCAACACTTCCCTTTTCTCCGCTTATACAACCAAACTCATGGTGACAGTGGCACAAAGGACAGAAGTTGTTGAATTAAAAGTCAACCCAAGAAGTTGCTATGGCACTTCTCAAAGCTGCTAACACAGCGATGATAAGGGTTGAGAAATTAGTATGAGAAATTGTCTGGAAACATCCCATTTTTAAATTTTTATTACTTCATATTAAGTTTTTATAATCACCGTATTCTACAAATATTGCTATAGCATTTTATAACCTTTTATTGTTTAACTGATTAACTAGAGTACAGTAAAAGTGTCTAGTAGAAAGGTTTGCCTCCCTCAGAATGAGCAAAAGAAAAGGGGAGGCATTTAGTTGATTCTTCAAATCTTTATTTTGCTCATATGTAGTGGGGTACTGCACCAACCCTAAAATGGCTGGAAAACAAAGGGGGTTCCTCTTTACCTTCTCATTCAGGATTTGCATACTTGGTGTTGATGAGAAAGGGAAGAGAATTTGCTTCCCACACTGCTAGAAGGAGCAAGATGTCACTCATTTAAATTAGGTGAATTTGCAAGCTAATTACTTTTGACATTGGTAGAACATATGCAGTCCATGAAAGAGAAACAGGTGACACTACAGATAACATGACACAAAAGTGCTGAGAATGCACATGTCCACATCCAAACTCTCATATCCTGTGGATTGAGTTGTTTCTTCATCCAAGTGTCAGCTAAGCATCTCTCACCAGCAGGCATTAATGCCACTGTGTTAAACAAAGCTGACACTGCTTCTCTTTACCACTGCTTCCTGGTCTATCCATCCTGAAGTCCTTGGACTACATGCAGCTGAAGGCAGTTAGGACTGCAACCCAATACAACATTGGAAACATACGTTTTTTGCAATTTCGTTGTAACTAAATTGCATATTCTTGAGTATGAATTTTATAGCAGACATCAAAAGGCTGGATATGCCTGCAACTCTGATGGAGAACATGAAGTTAAAGAAACAAATGCTTGTTAATTATGGTTAGAGTTGAACTACAATTTATAAAATGTCATTGAGTGACTTGTCTTATAAGAAGAGAATTAGAAGTAATAAAATTGAATTTGACAAAAAGGATTGTCATATAGGATGGCTATATATGGAAAGAAGAAATGTCTGTACTGTAATTCTCCATAAAAAGATGGAGGTCAGAGACTGAGGAAAGGAGGAGATGAGGTTCTCACCAAGAATGTTTCAGTCACAGCAGAAGGACATGGAAATATTTTCAGAGGGAGCTAGAGCTTCAACTCCTTCAAGTGGAAAGGACACTGGCCTCGAGGAGTGAAAGGTGATGCCTATCCCCGAGTACGTGGGGATCACAGTGGGACATGGAATGCATTGTGTAATAGGAAGAAAGCTGGGAAACCTTCTGAGAGCTACAATCAATGAACATGTCTCTCATGGACTTGTCTTGCTTCTAAACAATAACTCTGGAATTTCATTCAAGCCTATGAAAAGATTGGAAGGCTCAGGTGAGAGCCACCTGTGTGGTGAGGAACAGAGAAGACTGTTGCTTGTCGTGGACAACCAGTGGACAGTGGTACTGATGGGCACAGAAGGGTCATCGGGGCCAGTGGGAAGGTAGTTAGGACCTTAAATGTCGGTGTGTCTTTTGTTCTTAATGAGATGAGAAGCCATTAGAAGTAAACATTTGTGCAAAAGTAAGTCATGACGCTCATTGTTATGCAAGAATCATGCAGCCACTGCATACAGTAGAGAATACTGTGTAGGAATGGAAATGGGGGACTAGCTACAGACAAAGGCCATATGGATTGGAA